TCACCCGACTGGTGTGGCTCAGAGGTTGAGCATTGAGCCATGCACTAAGAGGTCGCTGTTTCGATTCCTGGTGAAGGCACATGCCAAGGTTGTGGGCCTGATCCCCAGTGGGGGGCATGCAGGAGGTGGCCAATTGATGTTCTCTCTCATCAATGTTTCTGTCTCTCTCTCTCTCCCTTCCTCTCTCTAAAATCAATAAAGAAAAAAAATTAAAACAAAACCAAAACACCTGTGGCCATCTCCTGAAATTTAAGTACACCCCCCTACTATCCCCTCAACTCTCATCCCCATACTTCTCTGCACATTCTCCCTTGATCCAAGCCCCACTGTTTCTCTCCATCCCAATTTCCCAGTGTGTTCACATTTCAGGGTTTTTGCACATGCACTATGTAAATTCTGTCATTCTTTAAAAAAAGAAAAAACAGTTCTATCATTCTTTAAGTCTTAGTCATTCATGTAACAACCTCAGGAATACTTTCCTGACTGTTCAGACTTGCTTAGATCCTGCTGTTACACATTCATACAGCACCCAGAATGGCTGCTTTCTTTTATGGCATTTATCACAAAAAGTTATATATTTAATTAGTCTGTCTCTTTTGCTAGGAATATAAGTTCCATGAAAACAGGAAATTGCTGCATCCCAGCATCTAGCACATTCTCTACACATAGCAAGTGCTCAATAAATATTTACTGGTTGAATTAATAAAAACGTTACTTCCTTATCTCTAAAGAGGTTATAAAACTATTTACCTTGTGGAGTTGTTGATATGATTAAATTATATAATATATAAAAAGGGCTTAGCAAGCATAAGGCACATTATTAATGGTCAAATAGGTAGCAGTTATAACAGTGGTGGTGATTGTTCAGCTCATTTATTATATAACATATACCTTAGTGTGTGATGGGTGCTGAAGATAAAATCATGAACAAAATAGAAAAATGTCCCAGTCTTCCGCTTACAGTCTAGTAATGAGCAAGATATAGTGAATTTCTTGACAATTTTCCTGGGATTTTGGACTCCATGCCCTTCTAGGCACCATAAATTTATTTTATATTTCCTATCTTCCTATGTCCTCCTAATTCATGTCTGTTAGTTTTGATTTGTCATTTGTTCATATGAACTCTGCTCCATGTTAGCTTTCTGTTTTTTTGTTTTTTTATCCTCACCAGAGGACATTTTTGCATTCATCTTCAGATAGAGCGGGAGGGAGAGAGGAGGAAGAGAGATAGAAAAACATCCATGTGAGAGAGACACATCAAGTGGCTGCCACCCATACGACCCCAACAGGGGCCGGGGACAAACTGCAATCAAGGTACAATGCCCCTAGCGGAAACTGAACCCAGGCCTCTCTAGTCTGCGGGCCAACGCTCTAACCGCTAAGCCAAACCAGCCAGGGCTGTTCCATGTTAGCTTTCAATGTTTTCACTTGAACTATGAGATCTGTCCCCAGCATTGCTCTTTCTGAGCTCTCATCTTGATTAATCAATATGTTTCCTGGTTTGATCAAAATCAGCATTAGTATCTTGATCAGATCCACCCTGCTCTACTATTTATGTTAACTCAGAGAGGTACATGATTCCATCCAGTTTTTTGTTTTTATTTTTTGTTAATCCTCACCTGAGGACATTTTTTCCATTGATTTTTAGAGAGAGTGGAAGGGGGGCTAGAGAAAGAGAAAAATCAATATGAGAGACACACATTGACTGGTTGCCTCCCTCACATGACCTGACCGGGGTGGGGATTGAACCTGCAACCCAGGTAGGTGCCCTTGACCGGGAATTAAATGCAAGATTCTTCAGTACTTGGGCCAACACTCTAACCACTGAGCCAAACTGGCCAGGGTTCCATGGTTTTATTCCAGTGAAGTTGGGCTTCTTACTCACCTAAAATTTGAAATGATTATAAGATAAAAACCTCTTAGGGTCCCAAAGAAAGAGAACTGAGATAGGAGTTTGAAATACTAGTCTCAGCTCTACCATGTACATACCATGCAGTGTCAACTTTTGTTCATTCACTTACTCAATATTGATCAGGTACATGCCTTAAGCCAAGTACACTGTAGATTGAATGCATACAGACATGAAGAATATACAGTGGCCCACCCTTAAATATTTCTAGTGAGAAGGATAAATGTGCAAATTATTCATTACACTGCAATATGAGATCAGTATGATGGACTGTCTAGGTCACAAAAGAGGGAGGACTAACAACTGGGAAGGTCAAAGAAGGCTTTCATTCTTCATTTCACAGATGAAGAAACCCAAGATTATCATCAAACTAGGGAGATGTGAAATACTCAGAAAAGGAAAGGCAGTGCAGTCTTAGAGAGGTAGAAAATCTAGGCTCTATTCTCAGTACTACCACTTAAGAGGCTATTGCCATATAAGCAAGACATTCATTCACTGGCACTCAGGAGAATATTTGAGAACCTATTATGTACCAGATATTGCCAGTAGCTCCCATTTCCTCATCTTGTACCTGCCAAGATCATCTCATAATATTATAAAGATCAGCCCAGCTGGTGTGGCTCAGTGGTTGAGCATCAACCCATGCACCAAGAGGTCACTGGTTCGATTCCCGGTCAGGGCACATGCCCAGGTTGTGGGTCCAATCCCCAGTCAGGAGTGGGGCATGCAGGAGGCAGCCAATTGATGTTCTCTCTCATCACTGTTTATATCTCTCTCTCCCTCTCCCTTCTTCTGTCTCTAAAATCAATAAAGAAAAAAAGTATAAAGATCAAATGAAATTATGCAAGTGAAGCAGTTTATTAATTATAGAATAATATCAATATTTCTATCTGTATAGTCCTTCACACCTTACAAAGTACTCTTACATTGTCTTTTACAATCTTTTAGATTATAAACAATTTCATATAGTGGGCATAATGATCTGCATTTTACAAATATGAAACTGAAGCAGAGAGAGGTCAAATAACCTGCCTAAGATCATACAGTCAGAAAGAGATAGAACCCAGTTCTGATGCAAATCCCATTGGTTTTCCTTTTGAGTAGTATTAACTAATACTAGTATAGTATTAACTAACACTTCCAGACAGGCTGAGACAAGGATGAGCACAGACTGTACATGATTAGGTACCAAAACATAATACCAGTTAGAAGTTAAAAAAATAAATAGGCACATTAGCTGGAATAAAAAAATAGGCACATTAGTGGTGAGAGGGGGTGAGGGTACTACAAGTGAGAAGGCTCCATAAGATCAAGGATCAGGAATTCAGCATTTAGCAAATAAAGGAGAGATTATCTGGACGAAGCAGCAGGGCAGATGGAAGAGTAGTCTACAAAGGAGTCTAGAAGGAAACAGTGGCATAAGACTTGGAAGGGCCCTAGATGTCCTTATATCTTCAGGTGATGGCCTAATGACAGATTTTCATGAGCTGTCCTGGAGTATAGAATGGTCAAAAAACAGTATTCCTTGAAAAATGATCCCTCCCTTTCAGCATTCCTCAGAATCAAGGCAAATAGAGCAGGAGCATGGAGTCACCAATTTGACTGTCTTTAACAACAGAATTTTGAAACTTTCTGATTTTATTATCCTTTCACCAGATCTGGCTCCGTTCTCACAATTTGGCTAGAGTGAACAACTGAGTTATTTCATACAGAATGAAGTGAGATTTGGAACCTTAAGGAACAAAGCTAGAGAAATTCAGGGGCTGCCCCAAAATAATTACTAGTAGATCCATGAGCAGCAATGATCATGCTAATCTATGCATCATGGAGATATAGTCTCTACAATTAATACCTAAAATTTTAAAATAAATTGCTAAAAAAAAAAAAAAAATAAGTCACTGCCCGGCTGGTGTGGTTCATTGGCTGAGCATCGACCCATGCACAAAGAAGTCCCGGATTCGATTCCTGGTCAGGACAAATGTCCAGGTTGTGGCCCTGGTCCCCAGTGGAGGCCATGCAGGAGGCAGCCAGTCGTTCTCTCATCGATGTTTCTATCTCTCTCTCTCTCCTTCTCCCTACCTCTCTCTCTCTAGAATCAATAAAGAGCCCTGCCGGTTTGGCTCAGCGGTTTGGCTCAGCGGTTAGAGTGTCCGCCTGCAGTCCAGAGAGACCCAGGTTCGGTTCCCGCTAAGGGCACGTACCTTGGTTGCAGTTTGTCCCCGGCCCTGGTTGGTAGTGTGGGTGGCAGCCACTCGAGGTGTCCCTTTCACGTCGATGTTTCTCTCTCTCTTTCCCTCTCTTCCTCTCTCTCCCTCCCACTCTATCTGAACAAAAAATGGAAAAATGTCCTCGGGTGAGGATAAAATAATAATAATAATAGAATCAATAAAGAAAAGATATTTTTAAAAGTAATAAGTCACTATTCTCAGAAGCATGATACAATTGAAAGAGCATAACAGAAATCTGTTCAATCTGTTAAGAGGACCAGGGAAAGCCAAAGAATGCAGTTATGGTGGGTCAAACGGTTTTACTGCAGTCACTTAAGGTTTTATAAGTAAAAATGTATTTTATTACCACCCTTCCCTTATCGCCAAGTAGTCTCACATTTCAATCAGCTCAGCAAGTCAAAAACGGTATTCTTAGAAATTTTTCTGGAAGTTGATGAGTTAACTCAAGAATAAAGTGACCTGCTCAAGGTCATACTAAAGCCTCTCTTTCTGTCGTGACTCCCATAGTGGGGAAATCTTCTCTTTCCAGGCCAATGGGCGGCGAGGGTAGCTAGTGAGAGGTCCGTGGCGCATGGAATTGTGCGGCCAAGCGAGAGGAAGGAGCGCAACCCTTTGATTACAAGGGCGTCGCAAGTCCTGCCGGGAAGAGCCTTGTTTTCGCCAGCGTCTATACACCCGGATGTCTGAAGAGGGAGCGCAACCTTTTCATTACAAGATGCCGCATGTGCTGCTGGGAAGAGCCTTGCTCTCGCCATTGTCTATATACCCGGATGTCTGCAGAGGCGGTGACAGCCGGGACCACCTCCCAGCTCTGCTCTCCTCACTACCTCCCCCGTGCCGGGCGTGCGTGGAACCCACGTTACCTTTCCCAGAGCTCCGTTCATCCTTTGCTGCTGCGGCCAGTTATTGTGTAAGCTGAAGATCAGCCCAAACAGCTGCAATCTCTGGGCGGCTGATAACACTGACGGAACAGCCTCGATCGGGTCCAGTAACAATATCCGACCGAGACTCACTCATCTCCTGCAGCACCTTGGTTCCGGCAGCTTCTGAGACTCAATGTCCAGAAATCCCCCGCCGACTCCGCCCTCAGTACAGCTCAAGTGTCACCTTCACTGCTTTCTCCAGGCAGAATTAATTGCCATCTCTTTTGCTCAGATACTTGGTACACAATTCTGCTATTTCGTCTACCATTACTATTTATTGCTACTATCCCTTTCCCATTTTTGTGAGTTCAAGGACTGAGACCCTGTCTGATTAATTCATTCCAGCTTCTAGCACAGGACAGATCTTACTTCTAACCTGTGTTTAAAAGCTGATTGATCCTAAGTAAACTTTTCTGACACTCAGTTAGTCAGAGCCACCTCCTGATATGTCAAGGTTGAGGGTTCGATCCTGGTGAGGGCACATACAACAGTCAAACAATGAGTGCATAAATAAGTGGAACAACAAATCAATGTTTCTCTGTCTCTAAAAAACAATAATAGTTGGGAATAACTATTCTTTATTGAGTGACCACTGTGTGCAAAGCATTATGCTAAGTGCATCACTTAACTGTGAATTTGTCTCTTTAGATATGTCTCTCAGCATCTCTCTCTGGATTTACTTACATCTCCCTTTGTAGCTCCTTGGAATTTCATCATAGGAAGGATTAATAAAACAATAGGATAAAAAATCTTGGCAAAGCCTGGCTGGTGTGGCTCAGTGGTTGAGCGCTGATCCATGCACCAAGATGTCGCCAGTTTGATTCCAAAATTTTTTTTCCTTTATTGATTTTTAGAGAACAGGGGAGAGGGAAAGAGAGATGGAAACATCGATGACAGAGAACATCAGTTGGCTGCCTCCTGCATGCCCCCAACTGGGGAACGGGCCCACAACTTGGGCATGTGCCCTGACTGGGAATTAAACTGGTGACCTATTGGTGCATGCATGGGTCAATGCTCAACCACTGAGCCACACCGGCCATGCAAAAAAATTATTTTTAGAAAAATCTTGCCCTGGCCAGTTTGGCTCAGCGGTTAGAGCGTCAGCCTGCGGTCCACAGAGACCCGGGTTCGGTTCCCGCTAAGGGCATGTACCTTGGCTACAGTTTGTCCCCGGCTCTGGTTGGGTCATGTGGTGGCAGCCACTTGATGTGTCCCTTTCACATCGATGTTTCTCTCTCTTCCTCTCTCTCCTTCCTGCTCTATCTGAATAAAAAATGGAAAAATGTCCTCGGGTGAGGATAAAAAAATATATTTATATATATCTTGGCAGAGTTTCTGACAAGAAAGTAAACTCCCTATCACTGAAGCCCCATTCACATTTACCAGTCTTTACACCTTTTCCTTTACTAAGAACAAGAATAATAAATTTTTTAAAAGTAGTAACAGCAGCAGTAGCAACAATAATAATAAAAACAACAATAAAAATAACTGCATATTTGCCCTGGCCGGTTTGGTACAGCGGTTAGAGTGTTGTCCTGCACTGGAGAGAGACCTGAGTTCGGTTCCCGCTAGGGGCATGTGCCTCGGTTGCAGTTTGGCCCTGGCCCTGGCTGGGTCGTGCGAGTGGCGAACACTTGGTGTGTCCCTTTCACGTCGATGTTTCTCTCTCTCTCTCTCTCTCTCTCTCTCTCTCTCTCTCTCTCTCTCCCACCCTCCCTCCCTCTCTCCCACTCTATCTGAACAAAAAATGGAAAAATGTCCTCGGGTGAGGATAAAAATAAATAAATAAATAACTGCATATTTGTTATTTCACTTGATGTTCACTTTTTTTTTTTTCTCACTTGATGTTGACTTTATGTGACCAGCTACTCCCTTAATATTCAGAGTTTTTGTATCTCTGTGTCCTCAGCACAACCACATCAGAGAAAGCCTTAGGGAACAAGAGAGAATAAAGGGAGGCTCTTTAAAAGAATATGTTTGATCTCAGGTTAAACTTCCTTTAAAGTAATACCTCTATGGTACCTATTATAAAAAAGTTTCCCAAGGGTGACACAATAGCTCTAATCTATGGCTTAAATGAAAATATATGCATTAAGCTAACTCCAGTTGAAAACTATTTATGTTCAGTAGGACTTTTTTGCTTCTGTCTTTTGGTATAGTTTTAGTACAAAGAAAATCATACTTAAAAGAAAAAATTATATAAGGCCATAGGTGGAAGAGAGCTGGCCTCCTAGGAAAAGTTAGAAAGGGATGGTACTGACTCCCCACACTGTACTTTACCAGGAGTTTTCTGCTTGTGCAAGGATGGGCTGAGTGAGTGGGGATTATCTAGCCCTGGAGAGAGGGAGAAAGGATGATGAAAGAGGCTGCAAGAGGGAAGTTCATGTGTTTAGTAAGATCAGAGAAGCTGTAAGAAGGGGAGAAACTGTACAAAGAACCACTCACCACACAGCAAGGTGTGCAATTCAGTCGAGAATCTTTCTAGAAGCCCAGAACCTGTGTTCAGGTTACTGGGAGAGTACCTGCTGCACAGAGCTCTTCCAGCATAGGGATATTGAAATACTTGGGCACCTGAGAGGCTATCTTCTCCCCCTTCTTCCCATCCTTTTAATAGCTTGCACCACGTTTTATAGTTTACACCATGACTCAACATAAAAACTTTTCTAATGAACTAGGAAGAATCCTTTGTAGTTGCTGCTGCCCAAGTCCCATATATCACATGTGTACTGAAAAATAGGAACAGAAAAACAATAAATTCACTCTAACAGCCTAGTGTAGTTCTCCTGCCTGGCAGTCTGAGATTAGGAGACACAGGTACAGATTTTATAAAATCACGATGGAAAGGTCAATTTTGAAATAAATCCCTCAGAAGATAGTAATACCTATGTGATCTACTGAAATAGGAGCTTCTAACCTTCATCTTCAACTGTTCTCTCTGTCTTTTTTGAATGCCTCCTCCTCTTTACCTTCACATCTGCATTCCAAGGTCCACTTTCACTGTCTCTCATCTGAACTATTGTGCTGGCTTCTAACTGATCTATCAGCCTGTAGTCTCATCCACATTCCAGTTTATTTCCAAAGGTAATAGATCAAAACAAAGCAAAACCTTCAACAGCTACATAGGGCCCTCTAATTTAAAAATTTTTTTTTTTCTTTATTGATTTTAGAGAGAAAAAGGGAGACAGAGAGAGAGAGAGAGAAACATCAATGAGAGAAAACATCAATTGGCCACCTCCTGCATGCCCCCCACTGGGGATCTGGCCCACAATCTGGGCATGTGCCCTGACCGGGAATCGAACTAGAGACCTTCTGGTGCATGGGTTGATACTCAACCACTGAGCCACACCAGCCGGGCTGGAGCCCTCTAATTTAACAACACACTCCTTACTTTGGCATTCATAGGTCTTTGATTTTTTTTTTTTTTTTAATCCTCACCCGAGGACATCTTTCCATTTTGTTCAGATAGAGCGGGAGGGAGAGAGAGGAAGAGAGAAAGAGAGAAAGATCGATGTGAAGGAACACATCTAGTGGCTGCCACCCGCACGACCAACCAGGGCCGGGGACAAACTGCAACCGAGGTACGTGCCCTTAGCGGGAACCGAACCCGGGTCTCTCTGTACCGCAGGCCGACGCTCCAACCGCTGAGCCAAACCGGCCAGGGCAGCATTCATAGCTCTTATGATCTATCTTCAATTTACCATTCCAACCACTCCTACTCATATACCCTTTGCTTCTACTACACTGATAACGCTGTTCAACATATTTTCCTATACCTCTCTTCTGAATTTTATCATTTGTATTATAGTTATTGCAGATGTGTTTTGTCTGATCACCAGGTCATGCTACTTAATTTTATTTTATTTATTATATATGTATTTCATTCTCACCCAAGGAAAATTTTTCATTGATTTTTAGAGAGACTGGAAAGGAAGGAAGGAGGGAAGGAAAGAGAGAGAGAGAGAGAAAGCTCTTAACTAGGAAGAAGCTGGGCTGGAATCCTAACTTATTTCTTGACCAGTCTGTGAAAACTTGTTAGAGCCATTCTGATACAGGAGAGACTGAATACAGCTAGTAAGAGGTAACATTCTAAAAGTAAAGGATCCAACTTTTGAAAAGGCTCTGATTGTTACACTTGGTGAAAGTTTGTTTGGACTTGTTTCTTCAGAGGTCCTTACCACCCTCAAGATATTATGATTCTGAGTTTCTCAAGACTGTAAAACTATAGAACCCTAAGACTGTAAATTTATCATTATTATAAAGGCTCTAAAATCTTGTAATTCTTGTGGAACAACTTTACAAAGAGAGAATGAAATTGTGGATTAGCCAGTTCTTACCTGCCTCTCCTACTTGATCTGCCCCACCTCCAATCAGCTATTCACTTAAAGTTCCAAGTGCTTAAATGCCCATTGGGAAAATATAAAAATAATGGCACGTTCATCCACGGACTACTTTAGTCTATGCATAAAAACTAAAATGACAAGGAAAATACTTAGCATGTAATAAACAATACACAACTTTTTTTTTTTACAGCATTGTCCCAATTGTGTTAAAACAGGAGAAAAAATAAAAGACTGACCAAAGGTAATCATGATTGTTTCTGGTTGACAAGATAATAATTTTAAATTTAATTTTGATTTTAATGATTTTCCCAAATTCCCATTCTTCTAAATCATGCATGTGTTTTATAATCAGAAAGAAATGTTTTAAGTTCTAACGTGTAAGGGCACAACCTGGCGCCTCCAATTTTTCTCGGAGTTGGGAGGTAGAGAAGGGGCGTCTCAAAGGAAAGGGAGGGGCCAGCTGGGCTTTAACAAGCACTGTACAGAGGCGCTCCGACAGGGTGGGGACTGATCAGCTCAGCTGGAGTTCAACCCGGAAGCGCTGACGCTATCACTCTCGGGGCAAAATCCAGCCGCAAAAACTGGGAATTACGTGGCAGCCGCAGGAAGCCAAACAAGGCCTGCGTGGTCCAGGCTACCCGCAACGCCCTCCGGCCAATGCCCCCTCCACCTAGTTCCCGCCCCTTGCCTATCCCCATTGGTCCGCTGAACCGAGGACCGCCCCATCTCTCACTGGCCATGCTGAGTGTGGCAG